ATGTGAATGGAATGGGAGAGGGAGCGGGAGATGGGAGGGGTGCGAGTGGGAGGGAAATTATGGAGGGGGAAAGCCATTGAAATCCATAAACTGTACTTTGGAAATTTATATTTACTAAATAAAAAAAAGGAAAAAAAAGAACTTAATTACATTAAATATTTTCTTCCAATTTCTTATTTTTTTTCCTGCTCCAAAGCACTCCACCCAAGGCCAATACTGCTTGCAGTTCTTCCTGGTTGTTGAGATCCTCTTTTAGTATCAATTACAGTTTTATTCTTCTCTCTTCCTCTCGGTAGCACTGTCTCTAACTTTGCACCATTTCTTGTCAAAGTGATGCCAGTGGAACCCATTGAAAGACTGGCAGTTCATAAAAGTTTTATTGTTGGTATTATATTGGTTTGTAGCTTCTGTACATGTAGGGGATGGCAGGCCTAACAGTCTTATTTTCTCCTGTTAGAATAAAAAATATTCCCAGAAAAGTCACTTTCCTTCCAAAAGTTGAGTTTAAAAAACATATTAAGCCAATTTTAAAGACCAGTTTTGCTGAAGAATCGTGCTTATATTAAACAGAATTAAACAACTTATAAATCAATATAAGTAATGAAAAAAGCATTCCTGTTTTTATTGTAATATTAGTAAAATTATAATGTTTCTAATAGTAAGATTGTTCATCTGAGGGTGAATAAAATTTCTTCACGGTGGTATTTTGTTTGATGTGTGATCTCAGTTTCAGGGTTCATAGTTTCTGATCTTTTAAAGGTTTCAGGTAAATTAATAATTTTTGATGAGAAAAAATGCATTGAAGATCAGCAGCAGCTTTTGATTTAAGACATTTGACCACATTTGTTTCCCATTTATTTGTGCTTCTCTAACTGCATTGTGATGCTTTTTGATGCACACTGGCATGCTTCTCTTATTTTAATCACTACTGAGTGTTGCTTAAACTACTATGCATTTGTTACTAGCTTTAATTCAAATTTTGATTATGCTATTTTTGTGTGTGTAGATTTGTTGTGTTTCCATTTCTTAGGTTACACAGGAAATTTAGCATTTTGAGGTGGGCTGCTTCTAGTTTTTAGATTTATATTTTTATTTATTTATTTTACAGGTAGAGTTTACAGGGAGAGAGGGAGAGAGAGAGGGAAAGGTCTTCCTTCCGCTGGTCACTCTCCAAATGACCACAATGGCCGGTGCCACGCAGATCCGAAGGCAGGAGCCAGGAGCCAGGTGCTTCATCCTGGTCTCCCATGCGGGTGCAGGAGCCCAAGCACTTGGGCCATCCTCCACTGTCTTCCCGGGCCATAGCAGAGATCTGGACTGGAAGAGGAGCAACCAGGACGAGAACCGGCGGCCATATGGGATGCTGGCGCCGCAGGTGGAGGGTTAACCAAGTGCGCCAGGGCGCCGGCCCTGAGGTGGGCTGCTTCTAAAACCTCAAACTATAATTACTAATGTTCATAACTCTGAGCACCAAAAAATAATGGCTTTGGGGGATGCTTCTAAGACTGTATTAATTACCACTCTTTAAATTCTGCAAAGATCCTTTATTATCTTTTAGAGACTTCTCCATGCTATACAAAACAAATGTATTCTTATGACGGACATACATATTTAATGTAAAAAAATTTAAAAATTTGTTTATTTTATTTGAAAGGCAGAATTACGGTGTGGGCAGGGAGAGAGAGAGAGAGATAGGGAGAGAGAGAGAAAGAGACAGAGAGAGGTCTTTCATCCTCTCCTTACTCCCCAAATGGCCGCAATGGCTAGAGTGGGCCAATCTGAAGCCAGGAGTCAGGAGCTTCTTCCAGGTCTCCCATGTGAGGGCAGGGGTCCAGGCACTTGGGCCATCTTCTGCTGCTTTCCCAGGCACAGTAAGAGGGAGCTGGATCATAGGTGGAGCAGCAGGGACTTGAACAAACAAGTGTCATAGGCAGCAGCTTTACCTGCTATGTCATAGCACCAGTCCTGACTGACATAGTTTTAAAATCATTATGTGGCTAAAAAATGGAATATATTTTAACTAAAAAGATAACATTTATCAATAATTTTTCTTGATAATATTTTAAAAAAGAATTGTTATCTGTTCTAATTTTTTGGTAGCTTTAATTTTATGTTGTAGCTTCCTTTGGACTACAGTCAGACATGTCTTTTTTATTTGTTTTTTCTTGTTGTCTAAGATATTAATTCTATTTTTATCCTTTGGCGGAAGTTTGGAGTTGAAAGTTAAACACTTTTAATCTATTTTCAACATTGTTTTCTATAAAAAATACATGTTATAGTAGGGGTAGAAATATCTTTTTAACTATCTCACAATGTTAATACCTCATGTAATTTATTTTTCCTCATCTATTTACATATTAACAATGGTACATATTACTCATATTAAAACACTAATATTTCATATTTCAGAATTATTATATTTTGAGAAATAGTGATTTTCTTGTTGCAAGTGTTTAGACCATATGAATATAAATCCTAGTCACTAGAAATAAACTGAGTAACTATGCAAGCCAGTTATTTATTATTCTTTTTTAATAATCATAATACATTACTTCTGCTTTTAATATATTCATAAAATTGAAATAAAAGATAATCTTTCTGTTGAGTGCACTATGAAAATCGACACAAAAGCATACAGTTGCAAATATATTAAAAGAGTTGAAAAAGGGGAGTACAAAGGCTTACCAAGTCAAAACCTCAGTAAGTGCTTTTATACCACATATGATGAATAGAAATTGTATTGTCTACTGGAAAAAAGAGTATCTATTAACATTTTTTCTACATCTGTATATTAGGTAAAATAAAGAATCCCATCATGGCAGGTGTACATGTGGTTTAATTCCTCATGGTAGAAGGTGACATTGATAAATGTGGCTATGGATGGGTGATCTTGAAATGTAACACCTCATGACCTGCAGGTGTTTCCACACTGCCTTCACCTTGCTTAGGAGCTGTAACTGCTCTTTGCAGTTTGTGAATTGTACATCTTTATTAAAATTGAATCTTGCCCCTTTTCACATACCCTTTTATGCACCAGCCATGGGTAGCTGTCTTGGTCCTGAAGTTGTGACTCAGGGCATCTAGAAAATATTCCTCTCCTCAGTTCACTTCTCCATCCTTCCCTTGCCCTATTTTACATATTTGTAAAGTTATTCAGATTTCTGACAGCTTCTCATCCAGTTATACATCAGATGAAGTAGAACTGAGTCCTGAGTGCCATGAAAGGTGATACAAATATGTTTTAGGAAATCATATTTTTGTGATCAGCTCTATTTTTTTATTTGAGAAATATTTACCTAATGAATTTGCATGAGATTTCATGTTAGAGCAAAAGACTTGGAGGTCTCTTTTCCCATAGACATTTAATTAGACCCTAATATGTAAACTGATCTGAAAATCACCAGTAATTTTTGTAGTTCCCCAAATGCCAGTCTGATCAACATCAGCTGTTGGATATAATTTATATTTTATTATATGTGCAAGTCATATATAATTTATATTTTCAAATTCACTAAAGATGAATTAAGGGCATTATACACACACAAATATGGTCATATATAAATTTTAGAGACACGGTTAACTATCACTAAGTCCAATATCACTTTTTCTTCCAACTATAATGATATGCCATACTGAGAAACTATCTGGAGTCTTCTCCTGAATAATGTTTCAACATGAATGTCTATTTTTACATTTTCAGAATTGCAAATTTTTAATTTGTGTTTAAAGCAGTTATCACTTTGTTAATGTGTTCAAAATAAATTTGTTTATTCAATTTTATAAAGTTAGGTAATGACAAGTTGACAGGGAATTACAATACTTGATATGTAAGGGCTTAACTTTTAACATATACATAATTATATGTATGGCAGTGTTTTTATACATTCATCTGCTTTCAACCTGCAGCTTTGTTTTTTATCATATATTAGGCAAATATAATTATGTAAAATGAGTATATAAACTTTCTTTCAGATTTCAACCTTCAGCCTCACTAATTAGGGACTATTGGTTGCTTGACATTAACCTTGAAAGCTGTAGGCGCCAGAAAGAAAGATGGCTTTGATAAGTGTGCGGAATAGAAATAGGCTGAAACTAAAGAACTCAGCATGCTGGATGATAAAGCTGAGCCCCCTAGGCTTAGCTGCAGACTGGAAGTAGAAAGCCAGGACGTGCGTTTGGGCGGGGGAGAGAGGAGCAGGGAGTCATGGGGGGTTTAGACATCAGAATTAGTAACTGTAAAGGTTTCTTTCCACACATATTATCTGTTCCAAGCACATTTATGTGCTTATTATCTAGTAGGCTTTCCGGATGTAGCAGGGAATAAGAAAGATACGGAAGATGCCCTCAAGAGCTTATACTCTACTGGGGAGTCACACACACAAGCAAAAATAAACACATGCATGAAATACTGATAAAATGAGGTTTCTCCCAGGACGAGGAGATAGAAGAGAACAACAGGGGCACTCACCTGAGGAAAAGCTTCTCGGAGGAGCTGCTTTACTCTGAAGCTCAAGTGTTCAGAATACAAAGAGCAAGAGGCAGAGGCAGAGGTCCTGACTGAGGGGCCACAGCAGGTCTTCCAGAGGCACTGGAAAACACAAGGCAGGTGGAGCAGAAGACCAGGCAGCTGGAGCCCCGTGAGGCAGAGGACGAAGAGGAAGTTAGAGAGGCGGGCTAGGAAACTAGGCACTCTATCCAAATTCTGCAAAATTAATAGCTATGTATATATTCTAGAAGAAAGGATTTCTGTAGATCTTTCTCTGAACCTGAAAACCTCTTTAATTCTTAATAGATTAGGTGCCATAATAAGAGAATGTTTCACTTTTCAGAAGTCAATCTTTTACACTGACATTTCAATGAAGAAAATAATGAAGAGAATAAGCCCTTTCCCCCAATCTTCCAGCTGCAAGTTAAATCACTGACCTGTAAGAGTCTGTTTACAGAACACATTTTCCCATAAAACATTTGCTTCATCATAGGAAGCATCCTTGCAGGAAACTTCCCTTAATATGCTTGTTTGTCACTTTCTTTAAACCCTTTTCTTAAGTTAAAGGAAAACACACACAACGCGCACACACACACACACACACACACACACCAGACACGAAAATCGGCAGAGATCTAAGATGAAGACATCCGAGTACGTGGGCCTGAGCCCCACCAGCGCATCCCTCCCCCAGCCCGGGGCCCAGCGCCGGGCGAGGAGCGGAAGGAATTAAAATGCCTGTCACCGCGAGGATTCCGGACGGCGGGCAGTCTTTAAGACCCAGCGACTGCATTTGTCTGGAGAGGAAATGTTGCTTTTTGACAGATGAGAGAAATCCCCTTAGCGCTGGCTGAGGGAAGCGAGGAGCGAAGTCAGTCACCTGGTGGTGAAGGCCAGTAAAACAGCCGAGCTGGAGGAAATTTTCTCTCCCTCTCTCTTCCCCTCTCTCTCCCTCTTTTCTCTCCGTAGGATCCACCTCCTATTCTCTCAACTCTTTTAGCATAACCTTCAAAGGAGAACGTTCCCTTCAGACTTTATTATCTTCTTTCCCCCCACTGAGAGACTACCTCTCAGCCGCAAGACATTTTTTAAGTCTATGCAGGACTTCGGGGATTCGGTTATCTTGCCAGGGAAATTGATCATTGCTAATGTCTGGGACTCACAGTGTGCTAAATTAGCTACCAGAGTAAGCCTGACGGAGGAAGGCTTTTATCATCTACTCTTCTCTTCAGTTTGAACACATTTGCTTGAAATTTGCCGCATGATGCTGTCCAGGGAAGCAGCTTTTTTTCTTGGGATGCAGCAATCCGCTGGTTTCTAAGCTTATTGCAGAAGAAGAAATAATCTTCAATAGAGTGGATTTTTCCCCCTACTTGCTCGATTCCACTGAGCTGTGTTGCACCGCGGTTAAAGATCACCCGTCACCAAATCTCTGAGCAAGTAAAACAAAGTGAATTGTCGTTATTATTAATTTATTTATTTTTAGTATTTTTAATCGGTGGAGGCGGCGTGACCACGGAGAATGAGACTGAGAGAAGCTGCCAGGGCTTGGAGGAGGGTAATCATGAGTTTCAGCTGGAAACTAAAAGACTAGATTGCTTTTTGCTACAACTTGCCCGGTTCCTCTCCACTTCCTTTAGTTGCGCTCCATGGACAGATCAACCAACCTGGACATTGAGGAGCTCAAGGTAGGTGATGCTCCGGGCGGGCGTCGTTCCTCCCCTTCCCGGCTCTCTCGCTTTCATGCCGCCGCCGCCGCCGCCGCCTCCCGGCAGCGCCGGACTACTTGGGGGTCCCGCGGGACTGCGAGCGGGCACCGTGGCGCGGGGTTCCCGGGCCGAGGACACGGAGGGCGGCGGGCCGGCTGCCTGCCCTGCGGGCGCCTCCCGACAGCAGCCGCCCTGTCGTCTTCCTCCCCGCCGCCGCCGCCGCCGCCGTCGTCAGTCACGGCGGCCTCGGGGTTACCCCGCCCGCGCCGAGCGCCCGCTCATCCCGCCGGGGCCGCGGGAGGAGGGGGGGGGGGGCGTCCCCTGTCCGCCCGCTGACGCCTGGTTTCCCGGCAAAGTTGTCCGAGCCGCGCGGCCGCGGTGCTCGGACCCTCGCCGGGCAGCCTGCTTTCCGCTCGCCTCGGCATCTCTGAGGCGGCTGCAGCCGCGGCTCGGCTCGCTCCGCCGGCACTTCCTCAGACCCTTTCCTCTCACGGCCGCTGGCGCGGTTTCCTCACGAGGGGCTCGGCCCGGGGCGCGAACTGGCGTGCGGCCGGGAGACGGCTGCGCGTGAGGGAACCGGAGGTGGGGGGGGTCCCCTGCCGGCGGCGCCGCGGACGCGCCCACCCTGGGGGGACGGGGACACCCGCCGCGGCAGCCGGCCGCGGAGGGGGTGGGGCGGCAGCTGGGGAGCCCCGGGGCGCCCCTCCCCCGCCGTCGGAGCCCCCGCCGCCGCCGCCGCGCCCTCGCCGTCCGCGAGCGGCTGCCAAGGCAGGAGCACCCGCGCTAAACAATTTGCCCTTCTGTCCGTGGACACCGCTGCCTACAGTGCCCGTTTTTCTGTTTATCTTTTTAAAAAGAAGTTAAAAAAAAAAAAAAAACACAAACCGCACATTTAAATGTCCCGCTCAGTGTAAACGGAAAAGCGGGAAAGGGGGCGATACTGGGATCATTTTTTGATTCTGTCCTGTCTTCCCGCCTAGGCATTTTGGCCCCTCTCTTGGGTTTCAGAGGCTTTTTTTTTTTTTTTTTTTGGTTTGGCTAGGGACTCAGTCGGACTCTGAGTTGAGGACTTCAGAGAGCTCCCCACCCGCTGGCGAAACTTGACTTGGAGAGGGCGGATTGGAAAAGCCCGGGAAATGGGTCTGTCCCGCCAGCGGAGCGCGCAGGGGACACCTCTCCACCCCAAGTACGGGCGCCCCCGGCCGCAGGCCGCCCTCTGCCGGGCCTGGGTGCCCAGCTCCGCGGCTCCGTGCCGCACCCTCCCGGGCCTAAGGGCTCCTGAGGGGGGGTTGGCCGTGTAGGAAGCCCGCCGTCCACTTCACTTCCACTCCAGACTTTGAATTTCTTGGAAGACGTGGCGTGGGCAGGAGGCAGACTGGGTGCTCCAGAGTGGGCGAACAAGTTGCCGTGTTTGGGCCAAGGTCACAGTCAGCAGACCCGGGCCTTGACCACAAATTGTCCCCATTCACCTCTTTGAGATGGGGCCCCTTGCTGGGTCTCAGAACAGGTCCCTTGCTGCCTTTCTCCCAGCATCCCTGTCTCTTGGGAGAAGGTCTGGGTTTTATTTGAGATGCAAAGAAGACAGGAGCAACGTTTGCGTTGTGTATTTTATGTAGAGTTAGAGTGCCCAGAATGTTATTTTCTGGTTCACTTATGAGAAATTGAAAGAATGACTCCAGGTGATGGTGGGAGTAGGTTATCTCCCTTACAGACCGCTAGCACCACTAACTAAATCAGCAAAAGTGCAAACCCCACTATGGACACTTCTGTCTGTTGTTGTTAGAGGATCCCTGCTTAACCTCAATACATTGGAATTCAGAGATTCTCACAGTCTGAGGGTGCTGGAGCAGCAAAGGATAGAGAGCTAGAAGGGTTTGGGTGTGAGGTGCTTGTGTTGGCTATGACTGGGCAGAGGTGAAGGAATACTGCCCAGAAAAGATAGATTGAAGTCGATGAGAAATTATGTCAGGGGAAAACTCTTGAGAGTCAACACTGGCGAGAGAGGAAATGTAGTCAAGCCTTATTAGAAAACATTTGAGATTCTCCAGCCTGGGAAATAACTTTGTGCTGTCAGTTTTAACTACACTTCTGGAATACAGAGACTTCCGAATACTTGGGCTCTGAAACGCATGTACTTTGTAGAAGTGTATGTATTACCTATGGAATAACTAGTCTGAATTTCTTGTTAACAGCAGATTCCGTTGGCTTGGATTTTCTAGACAATTCCAGCTTTAGTGATTCTCTAGGGGTATCTCCCTGAAGAGCTTCCCAGGGTGATTTGTGGAGAGAGGGGAGGGAAAAGCTTTAGCGTTACTTGCCTGTTAGGATTTTTCTTCCTATGATCCTAGGAAGGCATATTCACATCAAAGTTTAGTTTTTGCGATGCTTTAAATATATGAAAAAAGCGATGTTAGGGATTTGATAAATAAATAAACGTGCATAAATTATAAGAATAGAGTTTAGCCAGTGTTAGATTAGCAATGTCATTAAGTGAAGCTACATTTTAAGAAAGGAAACTCCTGCTAAATCTTTATTTTTGTTGTAAACTATTTTCTCTTTAAGAGATTTTTAACAAGAACATGTGTATTTGCTGTGCTGGGGTGCAGAATTTATTATTGTACAGCAAATAAAATTCAAACATAATATGCATAGTAAAGGTCTTATTGGTAGAAAAGTAAAATATAGTGTGTGTGCAAAAGTTGCTAATGAAGGCAAGTATGTTTCATCTTCTATTCCACACACAGGCTCTTGATGAAACAGATCGGTGTTGAAAAGGGAGAGAGTTCTCATCCACAGAATTTTAGTCTGCTCTTTTTGCTTTGATCTCTATCTGTTTCTTTCTCCTATGAATGTATAAACTTTTCTCTGGATTTTGCCCTGGTGTTTGTTTTAAAGAAGAAACAACATCAAACAACTCAGAATATGGGTTGCTGCTTTGGAAATGTGGGTATTAATGAATATTGACACTTGAAAAAGCACCCTCTATCCTGGAATATCTGAGTTACAGAGTACTGTGTGTGCCTCTTGGTGTTTGCTATGTAAAGAATAGCTGTTAGCTTGTATTTTAGTTCTGTAGTTGCCCTCTGTTAAGAAGATATTATGGATTAGAACAGAGACTGCTAATTTTTAGAGCTGACACTTTTCAATGTGTTTTTCTGATTCACTTAAAAGAGATGTTGAGGCTGCATATATGGTAATGATTATGCACATGCTTCTGACTTTTTTGAGTCATCTTTTGAAATATGAGTTCTAATTCACCTATGTCAATTTATCAATTAAGAAAGTATGTTTCAAATGCTAATAATATTTTTTGGATAATTATAATTTGTTTTAAGATCAAAATCATGATGTACATCAACAGAATAGTTCTATTTTTCTAGTCATATTAGAACCCAGCTTTCACTTATTTATTTGTCAGTATTGCTTTTTGAGTGACATAACTGCCTAGAAGTTAAAACAGAGTTTTTGTATTAGTTGCAGAGCATGCACAATATACAACAGGATTATTTTTTCAATTATCATTTTGTTAGGTGCAAAAATTGTATAAACTATGTAGTTAATTCTGAGATGCATAAAACAAGTTTTCAGTAAGTTTAATTTTACTTTGTAAGTATTGTCCAGTCATTGTTGCTTAATTTTATCTTTTTATTTCAAATAAAATTTCATCTACCAAGAACTCGGGATTTGTCATTGATAGGTGAGCAAAATCCTTCTCAGAATAATACAGTTAGGTCATTAAGAAAGTATTGTATGGATAGAGAAATGATAATCCAGCAGAAAAGTGAATAGGTGTTTAAGCATTGGTTGCTTTAAAAATGCTGAGGCCTTAAACCACTTTCATTGCACATTCATCTACAATTTCAATTAAATAAGAGAGTTGGCACTTAAAGTAAGCCTAAAAGTGAGGTGTTTTTTTTTTGTTTGTTTCATCAAGAAGATACTCAGCCTAGGGAAGTTGAGCTCCTTGCAGTGTAGGAGGTTTTGTGATGAGTGTAAGTAGGTGGTATTTTTTTTTTTATGTTAGTCATTCCATAGTGAAAAATAGTACTCTCCAAAAAATGTCATATTTTTAGCAACCTGCCTGGTATATTCATATCTTGGTTTAGAATAAGAAACTCTATTTGTGAATGCTGAGTTATTTGGCTCTTTTTGCATTCATAGGGATTATAACTTCTCTCTGACCAGACCTAGTTCCAATTCTCTTTGGATAACAGGACTAGTCATAAAGATTTCACAATTAACTTTGGCTTTAAAATTATTATTTTACATGGATGAATCATAATCGTATAAATGTTTGGGATACAGTGTGATGTTTTTATATGTGATTACAATGTGAAATGCCTAAATCAAGTTATTAATATATTCATCATCTTTTTTGTATTGAGACAGTTCAAATTTTTTGCTATTTTGAAATGTAGAATCTATTATACCATAGAAATTTTAATATTCAAAAATATACTTATTTGAGGTTGAAAATAAACTTCAAGTTACAGTCATGAAAGATTCTTTCTGCATAGTGTTAGAAGAGATAGATCAGATCATATTTGATATGAGTGGGAAGAGAATGAAGAAAAATACATTCAAGGCAAGTTGTGTAAATGACTATTTTAGAAATCTTCAGTGGTCTGCTGTCATTACTAAGCACATATATTCCAACCTTCCTACTGGGTATTACAGTTTTGCTGATCTCCAGACTTTACCAATTGAAAATATATCAAATTTTGAAGGTCCAGTAAGAAAGAATATTTCAAGATTTATGGACTCAAAATCGTAGCTACACAAGATGGCTTAATGGTATATGACAATAAATCAGAGTATGTCTTTTGGGGCATTCATTTCATATAATATTTAGCGAGTTGTTTCTAATACTGTATTGGAATTTCTAGCTCCAATAAATTTAGCAGAGCTTACAACTTTAAGATACTAAGGAAGATGACCATTTATTTACTTTTGTTAATACTGCTAGGAAATTTTTAGTA